AGAAGGGTTCTTTTTCACATTTATTATGTCCAAAATAATACCAGATTCTGAATCCAGACTCACTGTTATCACCCATGGAAATGGAAGGCTTTTAAATTTGGCCCCCTCTAACACCAAGGCCCTCCCTAGAAGCTTGGGTGAGAAGAGAGAAGAGGAAACCAGAAAAAATGGCAAGAGGACAAGTACTGATTTCTGTGTTCTTGATACAATCCCAGGAGGCCTTGAGAAATTTGAGAGTCTCAATTTGAGAGCCTCAACGTAAGATGCTTAAATCACCCAGCTCTCAGATCCTGACTTCAAAGTATCTGAAAACTAAAAGCTCCTTCCCATTGCTGAGCATGGTGTTTGCCTACTAAAAGGCACCTAAGTGGCTGTTTAAGTGATCCTTGCAAATGGATCTGGTAATTTCCCCAGTCACAGTAGTCACGATAATATGAAGAAGAGAACTAAGGAGGCCAGAATACAGCAATGGCTTTTCAAGAATCGTTACAGCATGAATTATAATAATAACAAAAAGAAATCTGGCTCTGAAGCCCATACTCTGTCCTTTGTATGAAGTCTGATGGCAGAGGCAAGGTAACGGGCAGGTTTGCTAATAGCCTTAGACAAAAATGCTAGACACTGGATTTGGTTCAGTCAACAGTGATAAACCCAGCGTTATAGTTTTTTGTGGAAAAAGCTATTTTCATATGCATCATACTAAAAATCAGGTGGGGAAAGGGCAATGTACCAAATCAAGCAGCACTATTGCAATTAGCCACATAATCATAGCTTTCTGAATAATGAGATATTTATCAGTTACACAATTGACTGTAGGCAGTGGAATTTCTTCACCGAAGGAGAATTTATGTTCAGCCCTCAGGAAGTTAAGGGGACCCTTGCTTTTTGAGAATAGGTTACCTAAACCTAAAAAGGTCATTTCTGTCGTGATCAATGTGATATGAGAGATCATGATGTTGGCGAGGGGCAGGGTAAAGTTTAGTTCTGTTGTTCAAAGGGTTGCTGTAAGCTGAAGTCAATCTGTACCTAATAACAGAAACATTTTATGTAATACCCAATTTGAAATCGTAGTGGCCATTTAGTAAAAAAAAAATTATAGTCTTCATCTTCCATTTTACTTCTGTTCTATTCCTTGCAGCTGCTAGCATCCTGTGTTGTGAAAGTCTGAAAGACCAGGTGTGAGTGCAATGTAAAAAAATAAAAAATAAATAAATAAGTGTTTTATATATATATATCAAAATAACATCAGTCAGCAGCAATTGTCACACTGCAAGAATGAGGTGTAGTGGCACTTCAGCTAATCTAACTTCCTTGTTTTAAAGAGGGGGAATTGAGGTGTAGAGATGAAAGGATTTTTTCAGGATCACTTCTCCGATGAAAAAGATTCTGCAAGCATTTTTTAATGTATCAAGCACTATAAGAGATGACTTCATTTACACCCATTGAGATGAAGAAACTGAAACTCAAGAGGCCAAGTAATGTGCCCTGGCTTCCCTTAGTGATTATTATTCTCGAGTATCTCACTTCTATATTTTGCCTGTTCATACTCAGCTATCAAATGATGGATCGAAACAAAGAGCCAGTCTGCAAGCCCTTAATTATGTGTTCCTTGTTTTGTACCTTCTCAACTGCCTGAGATTGGAATCTTCCAGTTATTTCTGGAATGGCTTTCGGGGAGTGGGGTGGGGAAGAACTCAGAACTGCAACACTGAGTAGTTCTGACAGAACTAGATCAATCTCATTAGAACATTTGAAGGCTGGTAAAACCAAGCTCTAGAATTAGCTGGTTAATAAATAAGTGTGTTATCATGCTGACGTCAGTTAGAATCCTGCGGTCTGTGGTTTATTCATGGTGAGATTCTGGAAAAGTTAACTTCTTTGAACCTTGTTTTGCCATAAGAAAACTGTGCTAATAATATGTGTCTCATAGGCTTACTGAGAGGATACATGCAGCACTAGTATACAGAAAATTTCCATTATGGTTGCAGAATTTCTTTTTTTTGAAACTCTATCTCACATACTTTGGGCATGGTGCCAGGAGGGACCATGCTTGGAGAAAGACATTATGCTCAGAAGAGTGGAGAGACAGTGCAGGAGAGGAAGATCCTAGATGAGTTGGATGGACACAGTAATGGGGGTAGGTGTGTCAGAGACAATAAGTTTGGCTCAATACAGGGCAGGGTTCAGAGCTGGTGTACAAGCAACTCAAAAGCACATAACAACAATGCCATTAAATGATGAATTTTACAATAATATCCATATAGTCCCTAGCAGTCTGTGATCTTTATTTTTTCTTGAACGTCTCCAGCTGAATTTTTAGGAAAAGGTCTTCTTTGGTGAAAGAAAGAAAAAAAGGGAACACTAAATTAAGTTGCTTTAGACGCTGAGAGGAGTCTTTCCCAGCTGTCATTTCTCCACTAGAGAAGGAAGAGTTTCATTTGTACAGGGAAGCAGGGGCAGACTCTCTTATATGACCAGAAGGACCAGTGTCAAAGTCCACACTGAGTGAGGAAAGGGGACAGGGAGAGAAGCACTCAGATACTACATGAAGGGAGTGAACTGGACTATGCTTCCTCATCGTCTATCCAGTTTTGGGAACTCTGCCTGCAGAGTCTACAGCAACTTGTGCCGGCAACTCAAAGACTGCTCATCCCTGGCAGTCTGCATTCATCAGCAGCTCCTCAGGAGAAATAGACAGTCTCCCCCGTCACAATTCACGGCCTCAGAAAACCAGTCAGAACCAACTGAACGGCAGTGAGTTTTACTGTGTGGTAGTGGGGGAGGGGGGGATGATAATACTGGTGCTAATGACAGATGATGACAGCGGTTCATATTAGTGGAGAAAGCAGAACTTTCTCGTTTTTAGAAAGAGATTTACCTGTATATGTAGAACAATACAGTCAATGAGTGGTTTCTGACTGGCTGCTCACCTAGAAACTGAACCCTGCTGATCAGCCTCTTTATAGATTGTACCACTGAAAACCTCAGCAGTTTGACTCTTACACCAGCAACTCCCATCCGTCGGACTCTGCGCAACTGAAAAGCGTTTGACTTTGGTTTTATAGAACACTCTTCTTAAGCATATTAACTTCTTAATCCTATTTTTCATTCAGTAATTGGCTCAGGAGTAACTGTTAAGTGGCTGTTATCTTCCGGCAAACAAAACCAAAAATTCTTATGAATACTCGTTTGTTTGGTTTTTTAGGAAAAAAAAAGAGCAAAATTTTGCTTTAGAAACCTAAAGAATCTCAGATATGAAGACACAGGGTTAGGCCTTTGGTCAATGAGAGACCAGGGCAAAAAGAATTCAGGTTCCATTTCAGTAATGAAGATGGTAAACTTGCTAGCCTGGAAACAAAAAGGAGTCTAAGTCATGACGCCCTGGCCATCCTCCAAGACCTGATGACTGAAAACAAAAGCTTATCCAGCACAGAAAAAGAACACGAGAGAAACCTGAACTGAGCTGACTGGTCCACTAGTAAGTAGCAGGGAGACTGGCTGGCCAGGCTCAAGCCCCACGCTTGCTGAAATGACTGGAGCTGTTTAGCAGAGCTCTCCACAGTGCTTGTCGAACACTGACTACACCCTACAAGATCTAGAGGCTCATTCTCTGGTATTCTCCTGAGCCCCACAGTCTTATGGACTGATGACATCTAGTAAGAAAGCCAGGAAACAATTTTCCTCTGCCCTTTATCCCTCTAAACAAAGACAGGCAGAACCAATACACACTTAGAAGTGTGTCTCTGTTTCCAGAGATCAAAGGTATTGACTTCAGGTAGTGTTGACGAGATTTTTTGAGTTGGCCTGCAGCTTCCCAGATCACACATCTCAATCCTTTATTACTGAGATAAGAACACTCAGGACTAGAGAGCAGAAAGTACTTTCCAAGACCAGTCAGAGAGCCAGTCTGAGGACACTGCCTCCCTCCAGCCAGATGTCCTTTTATCATATCGTTCTATTTCTCTTCATTTCCTAAATAATCCCTACAGCTAACTAATCATATTTTGTTTAAAATATGGATTACATCAGTTTCTCTTTTACGATGTAAAACTTGCTCCATATAAAAAGACATACAACTATAAATATGTTATCAAGTATCAGAACAGTATGCAATTTCAGCTCATTCATTTAGGAATCTCAAATCGTGGATCCATGGCAAATATTTAATATACTTTATAAATTATGGTGTATCTATAAGGTTGATAATTTCCTGAGGGTTAAATGCAACAATATTTATTTTAAATGAGTATTTTTTTAAAAAATGAAATGTTTATCTTCTGTAAAAACAATTATGTAATTTGAAGTTATTATAACTTCAAATGATATTTTATTTAAAAATAAAAATGCATGCTTTGACACTAACAAAAGCCATTCCAAAAGGGAAAAAATATGTAACACATAAACATAAATACCAGGACACACTGTACAGTGGGGGATAAATAAAATTCCAAGTGGATACTAAATAAAGTATAAAACAATGCTTTGCTGTAGATTATTGTATAGTGCTATTCTATTCTACATAGCATAGTAACACCGATGAACTTACCACCACAGGGAATAGGCCAAGATTATGGAGTCATCAAGGAAAGGTATTTCATCCACGTGAAAGGAAAGCAATTCAAAAATCAAATAGCTACATTGATTTCATTATGAAGTTGAGAGAATTAGTTAACAACTAGAGAATGACTATATCTTAGGACAGCTTTTGTATTAAAACTAAAAAGCAATTTAGAAAAAATGTAAAGGCTTCATTTACACAGGAAGGCTAGAATATTAATATTAATTTCAAGAAATCTGCTACACTGCTATACAAATTTTACTCACTAGATACTAAAACAAAAAAGAAATATCATATTCTTATCATTTTTTCTGTGAAATACATTTTTCTGTAAAAATAACCCAACTAGATTATAAAGAATTCATTCTGCATCTGATGTCTGACATTAACAAAATTAATAGCTACACTAAAATTCCATTTTAATAAGTGTACAGTTTCTCACCTCGTCTTCCTTCAAACACATCACTGATTTCTCTGAGCAGTACTGACATGTCGCTAATTTGTGATTCCCAAGCTTCACAAAACACATCAAGGTTTTCTTTAGCAATTTTACTAGATGGGTGTAATGTCAATGTTTCAGCGGCAGAAATTATCTATAGAAACACAATATACAAAAGTGTAAATTTCAAAATCATAGCTCACAGATTCACACTGCAGACTATATTATACTGCAGTCATTGTTTAAATCAGCTCAATAAACTATGTATTACTAATTCTGGTTCTCATAATTATTAAAGATAAAATGTATTATTGTATAATTTAGGAGTTACTTTGCTTCTAATGAATCATATTATAAAATAGTACAAGTATCTTTTTTAAAAAATTATCATTATTTCCTTACATTCTTAGGAATTACTAAGTAGATCAAAAGATATAAATAGCCTCATGACTTGTTAGGTAATGATAAATTACTTTTCCAAAGTGTTATAAAAACTAACATTGTAAATGGATTAATTTTAAACAAGTATAAACTAGAGCATCAGTATATAGTAGCTCAATTTTCCAATTTGGCAGATGACCTGGTAATACAGTGGAATGTAAACCACCTTCTAGCAAATAATAAAAATTCCATTATTTTTGTAAGTAGATGGAGTGTCTAGTTGCATAGAACCATTTGTACCCTCCTTCCATACTAGGAGACAGAGACAAGATGGAATCCAGAAGGCACAACATGCTGTTGATCATACCTGTTGGCCAGTCACTTGAAATGTCTCCTCTGCGTGTATACAAGTTATTTCCAGAGGTTCTGTCCCAGAGATATGTCTCAACAATCGGCAGGTCTAAGAGAAAATATGTGGACAGTTCAAATTTTGCATCTCTTTCTTCCAACACATAGCATAAGTTTATTATTAATAAAGACAATTCATTGCTTAAAAATACAATTTCTAAAACCCTAAAAAATTTCTAAATTTCTAAACTTACTTTAGTAAATGTGTATGTCATTAAGAAGACTATTATAAACTAAATTGGTTGTGCATAGAGTATCTCAGAACAAACAGGGCATCACATATTATTTCTACTTCCCAATCATGGCAAGATGGTCACAGAACATTAGAACCTGAAAAAATATGGAAAATGTTCTACTAGTGCCCACACCTTTTATATACAAAGGTCAAGGGAAGGAATTTTACTAAAATCTAATCATTAAAGTATGTTAGAGTTAGGCAAGAGTCATAATATTTAGTTTAAAAACATAACATCAACTCTAATAAATAAAGGAAATTTCTCTAGTCACTTTAGGAATGCTTCCTGAAAGTTTTCAGATTACTATGTAAAGAAGTAAAAGTAGTCTAATTTAGGTTTCCAATCATTTGTTATGCACCTGATACCTGGACAATGAATACGGACGACAGAAGAATTGATGCCTTTGAGTTGTGGTGTTGGAAAGAGCACTGAACACCCCATGGATGGCCAAAAGACCCAGAGTGCTCTTTGGAGGCATCTTGCTAGGAGGGCCTATTCCTCAGAAACGGACAAGATGCTTAGAAGGATGAAGGTCGGCAAAAGCGAGGAAGACCCTCAACCAGGCGGATTACATGGTGACTGCTGCAATTGACTCTAGTGTTTCAGGAAGTGTGAAGATGACACAGGATAGGACTAGGTTTAGATCTGTTGTTCATAGCGTTGCTAACAGTCATTCTTCACTCGACGGCACCTAACAACAACAACATATATACAAGATACATATGGATTAAAGACATTTCTTCTCTATCACATATTTGACATTTTCACTAAGCAAAAGGCTATCCTACATTAATAAGCCATATTAAAATTCTAACAAAAGTGGCAGGCCAACATGGGATAAAATTATTAACATATTAATAAAGATTTGGGCAGAACATAAAGTAGTGTGAGGGATATTTTCTCTTTGTCCCTCCATATCCACTCTCCCTTTTGGCCCTGAAAGGCTAACCAGCATTTGCCAGTGGGAAGGCTCAGCAATGGAAAAGTAGAGATGAAGAGAGGTTCCCATGCTCCTTTTCTGCAGGGATTGTCTATGTGCCTTCTTCAAAGATGACAGCCTCTTAAGGTGGTCCTCTCTGAAAGACTCTCTCCCCACCAGGTTTCACTTACTGTTAAATAGGCCACAGGAGGTATCACCTGTGCTATTCCAGCCTCACCTCCTGCACTCTCAGTATGATCCCTCTATTACCTGTCTGGGGATTTCTGATAGCCTACTGGGATTAAGGAGTTTCACTGCCAAACAAAAGGCATACAGTTCTAATCCACCAGCTGCTCTGTGGGAGAAAGATGGACATCCTCCTGTGCAATTTACAATGCCTGAAAATCCGCTGGAAGGTCAGATGTGGATAGGTTCTAACTCCATGGAACATAGCAACAACATACCCTGCCTATGCATTTTCAGAAAGATCCTTTACCGATTCCTTATTAAGTCATTCCAATTTGAATGTGCCATCTATTTTTTGCTGAGAATAATTCAAACAGAAGCAAGGTCATGCAACACACTTCACTGTTCTACTCCAAGGTCTAATCTCTCTGATAAAATAAGAAAAACAAAGATTAAGAAGTATATTTATGCGTCCTAGAGTTTTCTTGGTCTTTTTTTTTTGTCTTAGAGGTCAGGCATTGTAAGAAGAGAACAGGCATAGTTTTCATCTTTGAGTTTGCAAGAGAGAAAGAAAACATGCTCATAATAAGAACCAAAAACTGTATTCAAGTTCATATCCCTTTATGATCAGATAATTGTCACACAATCATAGTTTTTTAATAAGCAAGCCTCTTACCTCAATGAGCTGCTGTTTCTGTTCAGAGAGTTTACAGGCATATTCAGCCAAAGCTTCTAAATTCCCTTCTACTCCAGTGAGTTTTAATGCTTTTAAAACCACATGATCGGCATGGTGCTTCAGAAGATCTGCTGCCAGCTGTGTTGCTGTGCTATGAAGCTACAGATGTGAGATGAAGGGTCATAGGCAAAAGAAAACAAACAAACGGTTAAAAAAAAATCAAGCACTTAAGGACCATTTTAAAAACTAAAGAGCAGAAACCTCTAAATGGTGCCACTTAATTCATGGAGTTTCTGGAAAGTATAAAATTCCCTGTGGTAACAGTAGAAGGTGTGTAGCACTGGGGAGCTTGGAAGTTCTCTTGATGGCCAGAGTTTATGTCTGGCTCATTTTTCAATCCCTTGGTGCTAGCAGTTCTGCTGTCCACAGCAAATGAGCTGGATCACAAATAGCCTTGTCCCATTTTCATCTTCTGAACAAACCAGCCCTTTCTGACATAGCTTCTCTTAGTTTGATTGATAGATAGATAAATAGATAGATAGATAGATAGATAGATGAATGAATGAATGTTTTGGCTCCTCTGAAAATTAGTAAGCAATGAACAGTGTTATGGTATTTATAGTACTAGTAGAAACTAGGTTAGCTCATGATCAGGAATTGAACATATAGTAGTTGAGACTTGGAGAGTGAGGTTATAAAAGGAGAGCTTCTGAAGAATCTAAAAAAAAAAGAATTTAGGAGAGGGAAAGCTTTGAACAGCTGTGGAGCCAAATACTATCTTATAAAAGCATTAATCACTAAGAATATTTTGATTCCCCTTCCCCAGTTTTCCAAAAGACTCTGAAAAGTTCAGCGAATTGTGTATCTGACAAAGTTTATTAAAGTAAAGTAAGTAAAATACTGCTAAAGATTATTTTTAAAACGGTAGACACAATATATATCAACATGGAACAGCAAGAAAGTGTTGATGTCAGATGGATCTTGGCTGAAAATACAGAATTGCAGAAAGATGATTATGTGTGTTTTATTGATTATGCAAAGAAACTCAACTGTGTGGATCATAAGGAATTACAGGTAACATTGAAAAGGATGGGAATTCTAGAATACTTGATTGTGCACATGTGAAACATGTATATAGATCAAGAGACAAGTGTTCAAAAGAACCAGGGAACACGGAATTGTTTAAAATCAGCAAAGTGTGTGTCAAGGTTATATCTTTACTCCATACTTAATCGTTATGCTGAGCAAATCATTAGAGTAACTAAGACTATATTATGAAGAAGAATGTGACATCAGAGTTAGGGAAAGAGTCATCAACAACTAGTAATAAGCAGATGACACAATCTTAGCTGGGAAAGTGAAAAACACTTGCACTTACCGAGGAAGTTAAAAGACTACATACAGCCTTCAGTACGGAACGCATCCTCAAGACAAAAAAAGTCTTCACAATTTGACCAATAGGCAATATCATGATAAATGGAAAAAAACTGAACTTGTCAAGAACTTCCTTTTTCTTGGATCTATAAACCAGCACCCATGGAAGCAGCCATCAAGAAATCCAAAGATGTTACACTGGGAAAATTTACAGTCAAGAATTTCTTTCAAGAACAAGGACACATTTAAAGAATAAGGTGCCCTGGGCCTAAATCATGGTATTTTCAATTGCCTTGTAAAATGTGAAAGGTGGACAATGAATAAGAAAGACTGAAGAAAAACTGATGACTTTGAATTGTGGTATCAGCAAAAAATATAGGCTGTCAGAACAACAAACAAATCTGATTTGGAGGGCTTGCAACCATTGTGCTTCTTAAAAGCGAGGGTTGTGACACGTTGTCAGAAGGATTGGGATGGTTGTCAGAAGAGGCCATCATATGCCCGGAAAGGTATTGAGGAAGACTCTATATTGAGATAGATTGATACAGTGACTGCAACAATGGGCTTGAACATAGAGAAGACGGTGTGAATGGTACAGGATTATGGCAGGGTTTCAAACCACTGTTCACAGGATCAGAGGTTGGCTTGACGGCACCTAACAATAATAAGGCAGGCACTATGCTAAATGCTTGACATAAATGACAAAGAAAATATAGTCCTATCACTCACAAGTATTAGCCCATTTAAAGAGTTAACCACAATTTCACTCTTAAAAACAATGGGAACGAACAACCTAGATTCCAGAAAAAACAATAAAGAAAATGACAACAAAAATTCTTACATTTTTAACTTGAGTGGGATGGTTTTAAACATGACTCACATATACTGAATATCGTTGGGTATTGTTAATATTCAAGTCTGTTCTTTTAATTTGCCTTTTTCTTTCAGTATTGTTACAGGTTCTTTTAGGGTACTCCAAAAGAGAGGTCATTTTTAATAATTTTGTCTTAAAAAAAATCTGACTGGAATTATGCCTATTTGAATGAAGTTTGGTTCCCTCTCCCTCCCCCCAAAGAAGTAATCCAACCTGAATTTTAAAATGGCATGACTTTCTACAAAAGTAACAATAGGGAAGTCTGTATTCATGCAATCAAATGATGATAATTACAGTCAAGAACAGAAAATCACATTCAAATACACCTTCCTTTGGAAACTAAATGCCACATAAGAATTTAAACCATTAGGGACTTAAGAATAGCTACTATCAAAACTTCATTTTATACAGTAGGAAAAAAAATTCATAGAAATCGAGTTATTGTCTAAGATCACATAAAATTTACAAAAAGTTCTGGAGAGAATGCATTAGTAATTCTAACAAAGGAAGGAAGAAATACTGTTCAGCAAATTCCCATTCAGCACTAAGCACTGACAGCAACTTTCTACACATTAGCTTCCTTCTCTTTGGAATATTATAATGGTAGTATACTTAGCTAGTAAATAAGCAAAAGGAAGCTGTGGGAAGCAATTCAGTCTATCACCAAAACCCAAGAGAAATATAGCTGACAAGGATTTTATGCCTTACTGATAGTCACGATTTTAACAATAGTTAAAACTAAATAGGCTGGGAAAAAATGAGTAGGCTTATTTAAAAACCACAGAAAACCATGTCCTTCTAGGTGTAACAGAACATTGAAATGGATGTCTAAAATAATCAACTCCACAGCAGCTAACAATAATCAGTACCCAATAAGACGTGAAACATATCATCATGTCTATATTTTATAAGCAAGCATCCTTCATGCCTTTGATCATTGGGTCTTTTTAAAAATATGAGTTTGATTCACACTACAGTTAGTCAGAATGTAGAAAAAACCTTTTATTTTCCATGTCTCTTTAATTCTTCTAACATCCACACTCTCTTATTTCTGCTGCCTTTTTTTTTTCTTCTAAGATTCTTACTGGTAGTTTTTTTCCAGAGATCAATATTATGCCTTTTACTTTTTTCATAAAGTTTCACCATAAAATAGATAAAACCTTAAAAAAAATGTGAGAGTTTGAAAAGGAGAGATAAAGTGGGTTTTTTTGTTAGGAAGATCAATTTGACGAGCTAACAGAGTGCTTAATTAATCCCGCCTCCAGGCACAGCTCAAAGTGAAGGAGCAGAAGGAGCAACATAATACCGGAGTTACAGTTGGTGGGTGCAGCAGCAGAGCCTCTGAGAAGCTGTGAAAGTACCCATGAGAGAGGAAACTTTCACTATCTGTTGAAGCAAAATCATCAGGGCACTGATAAAATTCTGCATTCCCTTGCCTCTCTTTTCATCCTATGCCACAGCCTTAAGAGATCAGAAACAGCAGCTAGATCTTTGGAAGTGAAAAAAGGAGAAAACAATCTCTCTATGTCTTAGGGGGGATAGATAGGTGAGGGGGTGATGGAGGGAAGGTCCTACAACTGAATCAAGACAGACACAGTTGGAAGAAACATTTTAACTTTTGAGTTGAGATTGATTTATGACTTTATGCAGTCAAACTTTTGCTGTAATAGGCCAGATAATAATTATTTTGGGTTTTTCAGACCATAAGGTCTCAGACACAATTAATCGATCCTGCTATTAAAGCATTAAATTGGCCACAGACAACATGCAAACAAATGGTATCCAAAACCCTTTATATGTAAAAACAGATGACACAAGCACCATCTGGCAACTCTGACTTAAGTGACCACACCATTTTTTGTTATTTGAAAGTTCCCAAATAAGTCACAAGAGGCCAAATTTTCAATCAAGGGCTAGGAAAATCTTTTTAACAAAAAAATAAATGAATATTTTTTTAAAAACAGCTTCATGGAGGTAGAATTTATATTTGGCAAAATGTCATCATTTTAAAGGTACATTTAAAATGTTATCTTCTATATATACAATCAAGTCATTTGTAAATAATAATATTGTTTTCTTCTTCCTTTCTAATATATGTGCCATTTATTCTTTCTCTTGATTTACTGCACTAAGTATGCGGTAAAAATACTACATAAAAGTGGTAAGTGTGGACACTCCCAATGTTAGAAAGAAAGCATGTAGACTTTCACAATAATCATTTTAATGAATAAATTTTAAAAGGACAGGGACATGAGTTGGATTTTATCTCCCCAATGGATCAATGCGGCTAGGCCATGATTCTCAGAGACTTGGCATTTATGTATTTAGGCAGTCATGTAATGATGAAATCATCCTGATGATGCCGCTAATGTAATTATCCTCCACTTGTGATGTGTTGTAAATCCTGACCTCTATATATTGATGTTGCGGGAGCGCTGGTGGCTTAGCAGTAAGGTTTGTGCTGCCAACCCAAAGTCAAGCAATTTGTATCCACCGGCTGTTCAGCAAGAGAAGAGGGACAGCTGCTTCTTCTGTGTAATTTCTTTTTCATAACTTCTCAGTGATGTTTGTTCAATATATACTATTTCTTGAATTAACACATCCCTTATAAAGAGCTCCCAAAACAATCACCTACAGTAATCTTTCTCCTGAAATGATGTCGACAGCCCTAGTTTGGGATCTATGTATAAGATTTATGTCACAGGGAAGAAAGATGGCAAGCAGTTTTTCAGTTTCAGAAAGAAATCCTACTGGGTTTACAATTAATTGATTGTTGGTAAGTTTAAAGGAATTAAGTCAACATACCCTAAATACAATCACGTTTTTCTCCCAATATTGCTGTTTCTTGATATCTCATTTATAATGAGGGAAAATTCAAAAGGGTTCAGCTCTAGGTAGAAGCCTGTATTTTCTTTTTACTCTTTTTTGGCTGTGTACTGTTGAATTACATCCGAATGGCACAGGAGGAAAATGCCCCTCCTTCTCCAGCAGAACGTCCGGTGGATTCAAACCACGTTGCTTCAGGATTGCAGTGCAGCTTCTTGCCACTAGGCCACCAGAGCTCCCTTGAGTATGTGTTTTCTAAGACAACTATTATTGCCTATGTTTCCTGTGATATGCCCATGAAAGGACACGTCTACCAGGCAGAGATGGATGTGTTATTTTCCACCTGTTTGTCTCTAAGCACAGCAAGTGTATAGAAATGCAAGTGATATTTCTCTACAATTTAAAAGAAAACACTTTAAAACCACAATAATTTAAGAATTTGCAAAAACCCTTACAACTGACTGTGATACCAATACTTCATGACAGAACTAATGGAGCGGCAGCTTCTAACCAACAAGGTCAAGGGACAAGTTTTAAAACCATTTTCTGGGCCCACGGAAATCACACTAATGTATTACATACATGTACTACAGCACGAACGTCAGTAAAGAATTAAACAGAGTTAGAAAACAAACTCCTTACTTCCTTCTTAAGTTCATTGAGGTTGTGAGTGATCTTCAGTATACTGAGTTCCAGCTCTTCAGCAATGCTCTTTGTTTTCTTGCTTTGCTAAAAAATTTTAAAAGGACAAACATGGCCATTACTTTAGTGTTTAAATTTTAAATTGGTAATGTGAATTTCTCTTGAATATCATCAGATTTTAATGGCTGACATAGGAAGCCTTCCGTATTTGCAGGGGTTAAAAAAAAATCTATGAATGAACAATACATCTGACATGTAGAATCAGAGGCCTGCATGCTTGTAAAATATGTGAAAGGTCTTAACTGCAAATCTAAGTACTGATACAATCAGCTTCCCAATTCAGAGAGCATTTCATCACAAAGAGCTCTTTATTCTGAATGTTGGGCTGAAAATATTTAACACATAAGTAATCTTCAGCTCAGACTAGATAGCTACCACATCGATTATTCAAATTAACCACAAAACGCTGCTCATATCTCTGATGCCACTCTACTTTAGGGCAAGATTCCCAGTTAATGTGAACATTTGCTCTATTATGATGCCAGAACAGCATCCAAGAAAGCTGTGATTCAAATGCATTTTTCATCCATAAAGCAATCTATTTGCAAGGAAGTAAACTGCGGCTTCTCTCCTCACATCTACCACATTCACCTTTCATCTTTAACCTATTACCAAAGCTTTGCCCTTGACTTCTGATTCGTTCTATGTTTTATGTTATAAATGATAAAGAGTCTTTTAAAAGCCTGAGTCTACACAATAAATAGTGCCAGAGCTTTAGTTCTTTGTCCTCCCTCAACTACAATTATATAATCCTCCCTTTATAAGAGAGTAGGCAGACATCTCTTAGGTTGTCTCACTTCTGCCAATTTCTATTTTTTACCTCTATTGTTCACATAACCTCCCACGTTTTAAGCATACCAATGCCTACTTTAGGTCCTATGTGTGCTGCTTATCAATTCTAGACTTGTGGAAGAGTGAAAAATCTGATATCTACCCTTGCCTTCAATTTCATCTGACCTCAATAAGCATCCTAAAGCATTGTCTGTAAAGCAGCTGTCCCCAGAGTTAAGAACGGTACACATCTGAATGTCTCCAGCACTAAGACTCAGGTCCCAAGACCTCAAGGTAGGGGTCTACTCCTCTGTTCTTCACCCTGAAGCAGCATTTTAGGGAGGAATTTTCCAGAAGTAATGTGGTAGAAGAGCAGGGACGGAAGGCTGAACTAGTGACAGAACTCAAGACTGGCCAGGGTGGGAAACGAACACTGTCTGTGCTCAGTGGGAAGGGTATGTTTGCCAACTAGGAGGGGGAGAAAGATGAGGCTCCTTTGTCACACTCTGGGCCAAATTCGTATTCCTGGTGCTTAAATTAGCTTTCACATTTCTCAAGGTATTATGGAAAAGGCAATTGTGTAAGATTTACTTTCATGAACAGTTCTTACAGCTTGAATCCACACAGATGTTAACTGCTGTAGTTCCAGTGTCGCCTGAGTTGACAGTTCCAGGATGCGTTCCCTGTGCTTAGGGCTGGTGTATGCAGAATCAGTAAAGGCCTCTGTCTGCTCCAGGACAACGTCCAACATCGCAGAAAGATTCTCTTTGGACTGAAAATAAAGATTCTCCCGAAGAGCTTCAATATTCATCTGAGACCGAAAAGGATATAACTTTGTATGAGTCAATACTCCCGCCATTCCACAATGTGTCGCAGTGTCTAACATTGCCTGGAGATACACCAGCAGTTTCTTTCTGGGGCTGAAGGCAGCACCCAATAATGCTTATCACTCCCTATTAAGCCAGGAGGACACATTGCTCAGGAGGCACCAATGCCAGGCAGATCTTCACTCCTAGATTTGCTAATATAACCAAATTCCTATGAGACAAGTAAGTATCGGAGAACAGCAGAGACATGTTCCAACCAGTAGGGAAAATGAGTTAGCCTCCAGGTAAAGAATATTCATCTGAAAAATACCTGAGCAAAATTCTAGAAGATACAATACACACAAATATGAAGATATGCCGCATCCAAGGGGAAGGGTGTGGAAGGTGTGAGGTGTGGGAGAGGCAGGAAAATGCATCCATTTTCCTTCATTAATTCAGAACCACCCTTCTAGTCACCTAACTGGTCTGTCTGCATTTTGCCTTATGCCCCCAACAGTGCCTCCTTGACCAGGGCTTCCAACACCTGGTGACTTAAATAATCTTTTCCAAATGTAAATCTGAGAGTTGCATCTCCTACTACTATCTTACCACTTAGGCCCAAAGCCTTTCAGGATCTTATTCCTACATCTGAGATAACTGCCTATCCCAGTTCCACACTTCAAACAGCCCTCTGCTTTAGCGAGAGTTAGAGTTTCCTGAATGTATGTGTGATGGACACCTGTCAATTTGTCCAATGTTTCTCTTACTTAATATAACCTCTGTTATGTTCTTAACCTTACTTAGTCTCTATTTTATGAACAACGACAGGAATAGTTTGGGCCAAAAGGCAATATGTAATAAAGTTATGATTGTGATCACAATAAACTTGATGGTAAGCAGACTTTATGTTTGTTTAATACAGCTGTTAAATCCTTTCACAATTATTTCCAGTTAATTCTTAATGTGTGAACCATGAAAATACCAAGATTTGAGAAGGTCAAGAAGCTATCAGGGCTTTTACTTTTTCACTTGGCCATCAATCTCTCCAATATCACACTCCAACCTAGGTAGGCAGGAGGATTGTTTTCTATCAAGTTAGAAAAGAACACAGCTAAAAAGTTGGCACAGAGTACATCCCGATCGAATGACATAGCAAACCATAAAGGCCCAGTTCCATATCTTATTTTAGTGAGCAGTGACTGAGGTTTTACATATTGTAAGTGGTCCTCTATGTGAAAATAATATTTTCTCCCTATCCAAAGCAGAGCAGAGTGAAGAAAATGAAGATGTGTGAAAATAGTCACTCCAAACTACTAATGGATCACACAAAGCACAGCCACTCACACTAGAAGAACGTCATGGTGGCAAGCTCCCACTGCTGACTGCTCCGAAAGTTATCACAATAAAGAGACCATCAAGGATTGGTAAGACAGCTCTGGTGACCAAGTGACAAGGAGTTACCTTGCCAACCCAAGGACCAGTAGAAATTCTAGCAGAACTAATATAAATGCTTGCCACTCTCTTATCAGTGATAAAGCACTTTCCAGTTCTTATTTTGGCTAAACAGAGCTGAGATAGCTAAGATGATCCAAAGCAAATTCTTTAGTGTACACAATACCCAGGCGAATGGACTGAACACTGTCAGTAAAAGCACTGTTTTAAAGATACATACCTGGTTTTGAAAAAAATCTCTTATGAAGCATTAAACAAAATACATGGATACTACAGATGAATCCTTTAAAAAGCAAGGGCAGAGGAGATTCAAAGTGTAGTCTCTTTTTTATTCTCACCTTCAGTTCTTTAATTCCAGTAAATATCGTGACAGATGAAACATCAGCCTCTCCACTTGGTTTACAGTCGGTAACAATTTCAATGACTTTGTCCAACGCCACCTTCATTCGATCAAATACCCCTTCTTTGTTTTTATGGGCTGATTCACAGTTAGGATGCCTGAGGCATGTCTTCAAAAAGCAACATTTTCATTTTAGCATTTGATTCACATTCTAACACACAAAATCTCACCGAGAACATGTCATGCTAATAAAAATGGTTCTTTACCAAAATCTCCTGGGTCCCTGGCTCACCCAGCTGCTTCTCCTCACTACAAGTGGATGCAGGATGAATAAAAAGCCATAGCAGGATTAAGTGGGAAAACTCAGAAAGCCAAACTACATCTTCATATTCCAACAGTAAGCATTCTTAAAATTTATGAAGGAAAAATAAAAAACCAAACCCTCTATCTTCATCATAATTAAAACTTTTTTAAAAAGTTGTCTTATATATGCAAAAACTAAAAAAGAATGAGGAAAAAAATATTATATATGAAGTTATACATAATTGTGGATGGAACTTGACTTTTACGAAATATAAATATAATACTCAAAGGCCTCAGTACGAGTAGAGCCTTTTCCATGAACTACACAGACAATTCTGGTTTTGTAGGCTCAAGTAATTCTAAACAGTGCCAATGAGAGGTTTGGTAGTCAATTCTGGGTTTGTACCACTTTGTTGGCCAACTGCTATTTAGAATTAGAATCTCTTAACCAATAATTTTATTAAAAAATAGAGTAAGGAACAATGTATATGAATGAAACACAATGTATATGAGTTTTGTATGCAAACCAATATAAAATAAAATATACACAGACACACGATACAGAATTAGGAATGAGAAACAGCATATAAATATCTGGCAGGTGACACAGCCGCCACTGGCACTAAACAGGTCCTTGCTCACCTAGCTGGTTCCAGAGCACATATGTTGGCTTCCCCACAAGGCTGGCAAACCCTGCAGGCAGTGACCAGGGCTGGGAGACCTCCATCCACAGCACCTCGTCCCCCACCTTCCCTTGAGCTGTTCAGTCAACTGATTTGTAGAATTACTGTTTCAAGCTCAAGAAGGCTATTAGCATTGTTTTTTTAAAGGATAAGGGAGACTTAAGATGATGATCTATGTTCTAAGTTATCATCTTACTCTTTTCAGAAACAGGAAATACAGACACCAGATGGTTCCATCAAGTTTTCATTTACAACATAGTAAAACAAGGATTTTCATACCTTTGAAGCTGTAAGAAGCATCATTGTACATTTTTCAAGAACTGCCCGAGCTGCGGCCATTTTTGCCTTTTTCTTTTCATCTTTCAAATCCTAAAAAGAAAACAAAATCACTGAGGAGTCTAGGATCATATAAACAATTCATTTCTTGAATATCATTTCCTCAAGAGCAGCAGAATTTCTTTTAAGATGATACTGAAGCTCTCTGGTAGTACTACAAATTGATATATGCTTTTTAGAAATCTAAATGAAAAGGATGATCATGAGTTTCAAAATATGTCCACTCTAGAGGCCATCAACATTACCTCTAGAAATCTACCCAATGGATGTAAGAATAAATTTAGAAAGCAATACATATACTACATATATTTAAAAGCTCATTCATTCATACCATGTTTAATACTGGAAATAACAGAAACTTAAATGTTAAATAATAAATTATTAAGTAAAAACAGAGTATCTTACAGAAATTTAAAATATTTATGGCAATTGTTGTTGTTAGAGGCTGTTGACTATGACTCACAGCCATGGTTCATTCAGAACCATGGATCTGAACTTCACCCTGTCCTCTGTATCTTCATCACCTCTGAGAGACCTAAGCCCATTGATACAAACGTTGTGTCAATCCATCTTGTTGAGGTTCTTCCTTTCTTTGGCGGGCCTTCCACCTTTCCAAGCATAAAACGGCACATCACTAATCTAAATGTGTTCATGCAATACATTTGGAAAGAAACAGAAGCCTTTACAAAAGGTGACTGAGTGAGGAATTGAGACTTGGGGGACACTGTCAACACTGTTCACATTCTGGCCATTCACTACACCTGACATTTTCATGCCCCTGCATGAACACACCTTACTCATAAACAAAAACAACATTCTGCACCCTCAAGCTTCAATAGTTAAAAACTACTTCTTTTGGGGGCCTCTAGTAAGAAGTCAGTTCTTCCATGGGCCAGTTATGACTAATCCTATCGCTCTAACTGCTTACCATCCTACCATAAGGTTCCTTTATCCTAAACTTAACCAGTATGCTGCTGTGGCTAGATTATGAACTCCAAGGTAAGCATTTTGCTTGCAATTGAGCAGGTGGTGTGTGGTAGGGTGTGATACAGTATAAGAGGTTTCTCTTCATAGAATGCTGTCACAGAAAGTAACCAAATAATACTGATCCCATCTAGTTATCAAGTAGTCTAAGTAACTTGATTAAAAAATCAAAATCAAGACAGTTGTGATCAATTTGATACCCATATTGGCCCTATGTATGGAAGGGCAAAACTGCATTCTGTGGGTTTCCATGGCCGTGGCCTTTCAGAAGCACAATACCAGGCCTTTCTCCCAAGGAGCCTCACAGTGGGTTTGAACTGCCAACATTTCTGGCAGTAGTTGAACAGCTAACAATTTGTGCCACCCAGATTGTCCTACAATTTGGCATCTAAATCAGAGGCTGACAAATGGTTTCAATAAAAGAGCAGAAAATTCATGTTTAAGGTCTTCTGGGTCACATGGTCTCTGTTCCAAGTACATGAGCTGTCACAGATACTAGAAAAATGAATGAGAATGTTCCTCCAGTGGTTCAAATCCACCCACGGCGCTGAGGGAGAACGATGGGCAGTCTACTCCCTTGCAATTCCCAGCTTCAAAAATGCCAAGGGAGGGTCAGCTATGAGTCACTTCTGACTGGACGGCAATGAGTTTATTTTTAGCTAAAATTTGAATTACATAAAATTTCACCTGTTAAAAAAACTTTTTTTTAACTATAAAACACATATCATGATCCAACTTATCTACCTGAGCCCTGACAGAAAAGGCAAATGAAAAGATTCATAAAACCTCACAGGGAAAACAACTAATTATTTGGTCAACCAACTTTAAAAAAACAGAAAAAAAAATTTTTTAAAGAAAATAAATAAATAAATAAATACATTTATGCCTGTTTTGAAAAAAGGTGATCCAATAGAACGTGCTGATTACGCTTTTACTGTATTTTGCCTTTTCCTTCACCAGATCTACTATGCATATATACCTAGTTACTGAGATTTCCTCTCATGTTGGTAAACATCAAAGAATGTGTATTTTTTTAGTATAAAACTCTAACTTTCTACCAGAGGACTCAGACAGAAATTGTTCTTTTTAAATTTGACTTATTTCACTCAGCATAATGTCCTCCACATTACGAAGGTCTCTGCTGATCATTATTTTTTTTAGTATTGTATAGTATTTCATTGCATGTGCAGACCATAGGCACTTGGGTTGTTTCTGTGTTTCTGCTACTGTGAATGATGTTGCAATGAACATGGAGGGGGTGTGTGTGTGTGTGTTCATATGCATGTATTCATGTCCTAGCTCTCATTTCTTTAGCTTATAAACTTTCTAGAATTGAGAGGGTGCGAGGAGGTGGGGAAAGCTCACAGAAAGCTCTCTCCTCTCCTTTTCTGCTGATAGCATGTGGTAAGGTCTGGTCTCATCCCCGTCTTTCAATAGGTCCTTTAACCCTCTTCCCTCTTCTTTTCTTTTCACTTTAACCCTTTTTCATGGACCACATTACACTAGCTATGCCTCTGTCTTATAACTTTAGTAAACCCTTTTCCCTTTTTTTACTAAAAAAAAAACCAAAAAACCACACACACACACAAAAACTCCACCAAAAACTCATGGGAAATATCTTGAGATGGGCCTTTTAAGGTCAATATAATGTTTCCCAGTATGCAAGGCAAGATCATATTTAACTGTTAAATGTGTGCAAATAAATACATACATATCTACTTACCTTATTTTGGCTTACATATAAAAAGCTTTAAAACCAAATGTACAGATTTCCTAAGCAAAGAAAGCAACGCAAATAATTGATGATTGTAAAGAGTAACCCTACATCCAAAGTGAAAAGCATGCATTTGTCTAAGACTTCCAAAATACAGCAGACACGTACATTTTGTCTATCTCCTGTCAGATGTGCAAACTCCACCATCTCATTTCCAAACTGACTGAATATTTGGACAAACTCTTGAAAACTATTCACTTTCTCTAGTCTTTCCATCGTTGCAAGAACCTGCAAAAGAGATGACAATGTGTTATCAGCAAGATAGTGAACGTGACAGAGCTTGAGACTTCAAGGTTGACTAGAGAAAGAGGAAAATTGTGGGGAAAAAGAAAGAAAATCCTAAATTCCAGAGGAAAAGTGATGAGTTAGAAGAGAGGACAGAGGAGGTGGTGCAAAGACAGATGAGAACAGACACAAAAGGTAAATCATTTAGGGAAGGTTTGCTTGCAGCACAGAGATTTGGGCTGATTTGGCAGATTGAAGAAAAGAGTAAATGACTTAAGTACTCAAGTACACAAGCATAACTCCCGCCCAAAGTGGCAGGGGCAAGGCCTCAGGGAACTAAGAACGGCTGGGACAAAGGATAATAAACAGAAGCATTAAGGTTCAGTGGAACAGAGAGAAGTTCATTCTCCTTAGGAAAGAGGAAGGAAGGCCATGTGCAGAGTGAAGAGTTAAAGGTAGGGCTTGGACTTAACGAGCAGGAAAATCATTTGTATCTGCCAGGAACTGTGTGTGCCAAGTAAGTCAATTGCCACGGAGCTCCGGACAGTCAAGGGTGACCAGAATGCATGACCTGCAGCACAGCCAACAGATATTGTTACGTGTTTTCTTGACATACTAAATGGATGAGGAACAGGTTTTCAAACATTTTTCTCTAAAATAACAGTACTGCATTAGTGTTAGCCTGAGCAGCACAGGTAAAGAAAACACAGATATCCTGTGTTGACTTGGTTTTAATGAGGATATGATATTTGGCATGTTAATCTGCCCTGGCAGCTCAGGAAGTCCTGGCAGCCAACCCAGATAAGGCAGAATTAATGCCACTGAGCCCTGCAGTGAGGGGCAGGTTTTCTATTTCTATGTCTTTATCACTGGGTAATCTATTTCTTTCTTTTTTAATCCCCCTTCCTCCATACACTTTTTTTAAAAATAGAATTTTTTAGGGGAGCTCTGGTGGCCAAGTGGCAAGGAGCTGCAACTACAATCCCAGAGGCTCACGGTTTGAATCCACCAGATGCTCTGCCGGGGAAGGAGGGACAATCTCCTCCTGTACCAGTCAGATCTGATTTGATGGTACACTCACACACAAAAATAATAAAATTTAAAAAAAATTTAAAAATAGAATTTTTATTTTATACTGGTTTACTTACAAAGTTCATATACATTGTTTTTTACACTGGATCTTTCCCATTTCCTTTACCCACCCCTCCCTCCACGCATCAAATTGTGAGACCCTATGATTACCCACCCCACCCATCCTCACGCCTCTTCTCCTACCCTCCTTGGACCCTCATGCACATTTTACCAGTCACATTTCTATTTCTACAATAATGGTCTATACAGTATTTGTCCTTATGGGACTGAGTTAGTTCCCTTAGCACAACGCTCTCCTGTCCCTCCCAAGTTAGTGACTTTCAAAAGCATTGCTCCTGCATGCTGGGTAGTATTGCATTGTGTAATATAACATAATTTCTCAAGCCATTTGACTGTGGCTGGACAGTTGGGCTGTTTCCATGTTCTTGTGATGGTGAATACAGTGCTATGAACATTGGTGTACAATCTCCATTTGTGCCTCAGTTCTCATTTCCTCAGGGTATATTCCAAGTGGTGGAAAAGCTGGGTCATGTGGAATTTCTATGCTCTGCTTTCTGAAGAAATGTCAAACTACTTTCCAGAGTGGCTGTACCATTTTACAATTCCACCAACACTGTGTAAGAGTTCCTGTATCACCATATCCTCTCCAACATTTCTTACTTGCTGTCCTGTTAAACTTTGCTACTGCTACTAGGGTGAGATGGTATCTCATTGTGGTTCTGATGTGCATCTCTCTCATTGCCAGTGATTTTCTTCATGTGTCTGCTGGCCATCCAAGTATCTTCCTCTGTGAAAAGTCTTTCCAGGTCTTTTGCCCATTTTGTAATTGCTTTACATACATTTTGACTCACTTATCCCTCATCAAGCATTTCGAGTTTTTCTCTTTTTCTGGTTTACTGCCACTCTCCATGCTTCAGGAACTATCTACCCAAAGCAATGCCTGCCCTGGGATCCTGGAGGATCTCGGCACAGTACTGTTATATCAGAGTTCTGGATGGAAAGAGTTTCAATCCATTCTCTAAGGTCTGCTATTATTCAGTACTAGTTAGGGTCCCTGGACGGAGACATTTCATTTCTACAGATAACTGAGAGTATAGTTCAGTGACTGAATATTTTCCTTAAGTTTATATACTTTTAACTCTCTGATTGGGGGAAGCCAGAAGGCACCTTATGGAGTCAAAATCTGTATCAACTAGGTTTCTACTATATACATTGTCATGGTTCAGCATTACCCTCTTTGAATTTTGTGCACATGAAAAGCTTTTTACCAAAAAAGCAAGAAAATAACAAGAGAATGATGACTTTCTGAGATTAAAGATTTTTTTTTGGGGGGGGGCATGCAGAAGTTTAGTCATAATATATATGTATGTATTTGGAAAGAGGAGTGGCAACCTAAGTAACATGCCTCCGGAAACTCTATGAACTTTGATAAATGTCAATAGTTGTAGAGGAGCTTTAAACCTTTTGTTCATAGGGTCACTATGAGCTGTGCTCGACTCGAAGGCAATCAACAACAACATACGTATGTATAGTTTAAGAACTACAGATTTAGAAGAAACACCACTTTTATAGACATTTTACAGTTACAGACAATTTTAACAGACAACCATTGCCAAATTACTGATAATTAACCAATAAAAAACACTTTTTTAACAACCCTGGAAGACTGGTAAGGAACTATCACACAAGTACCTTATTACTTGATGTTATTATCTGCTTGATGACTACACGGTCAGCCAGTAATAGCACTTTTGTCACTGAAGAAAGAAGTAACCGTGCAGCCTTGACAACTCCTGTTTTGTCTGTGAAAATGGTGATCTGGCCATCAGAGTCTGGATGATTCAAGCTGGTTATGTCTGTAAGTGCTGCAATTGTTTCTCCTACAAGAAAAGTAAAGTTGAAATGAAGACTTAAAGTCAAGACTATCTCTGAGCCTTGAAGGCAAGTGTCACCATATGGAGAATGTGGACTGTGGCAACTTACCTTACTATCCTGAATGAATCCTTCTTGACGAGCACAGATACTTCCTAATGACAAACTAATAATGCATTTTAAATAACTGTGACAAACTTTTGTTTTTATCTACTTTGAAACATACAGCATTTATTTCCAGTCAAATGAGAAGAAGCGAAATCTAGAAAACCCTCCTCCTCTACAAACTGTAAGAGAGCTTAAAGGAGCCCAAACTCAAAAAGCCAGCATCTGGATTCGTCTTAGCTTTGATTGGAGATATTTTTTCCCCCTTTGAGAGAGCAGGGATCACATATCATGTCATTAATCTATAACCTCAAGGAAGTCTGTGACTCTGTGGACACTCAGGGAGAGAAGACAAGATTTTGTGTCCTGAGAGGCTACATCTTCAGTTACAGGACTGTCTCTGGGCAAGATGAGAGCTGGTCTGTTAACCGGGGCTCTGGTTCTTGTTGTTGCTGTTTGCTGCTGAGTCAGAAGTGACCCATAGCTGATCTTCCAGCAGGTTTTCAGAGGCAGTAAATCACTTGAGAGTAGACTGCCCAACCTTCTCCCATGGAGCAACTGGTAGATTCGAATGGGACTGCAGCACAGCTTTTACCACTAGGTCACCAGAGCTCCTTAGGACTCTAGGCAGGATGGGTAGGAACACAAAACAAAAGCCTTCCTCCTAGAAATTTAAAACACAGGCCCACTCTTACTCAGGTTTATGGTACAGATGGATAAACATTTTTAAAATGCTTAGGATAAACCAAACTACCAAGTGAATCTTAACTCTCTAGGAAAATGCTCTTCAAGGTTGCCACCAAAGTTTTTTTATTATAGCAATTATTTATCAATTAAAAAAAATACAAATGCTTGTTCTTCCAAACCTTCTTTCAGTGTAACTAAGATTTTAACAAAACAAACTTTTAATCTACCTGTAAAAAGACACATTCTTAAGCACTAAATTAACCTGTAAGTGTTAAGAGATGATTTTCCTCAAGAAATCCCTCTTGCCAATACTATTACACACCCAGAGCCCTAGAGCTAAAGACCTTATGGAAAAGTAGCATATGGATTGCAAATGGGTCACAGGATGAGACAAGAAGAAAGTCAAGATTTAGAAAGACGAATGTCCTATTCTGTGTACGGGTTCTACATGAGCACGATTAAGTGTTCTGAAATCCCCAATCTTCACAGAGCTATCCAGAAATTGTTCTTTTCCACATAGTCAATAAAACACAAGTAAGTATCTTTCTGGTTTCAGCTAAGATCTGCTTTTGGTTAAAATGCTTTCAGCTATGATCCATCTGACACCAGCTTTGACAGCTTGTGTTCCACAGCCTCTTCCGAATTTAGCTTGAATATCTGGCAATTCGTTTTCACTGTGCTGCTGCAACCATTTTGGAAAAATCTCAAGATTTACTTATTTGTGTTATGAATAATATTGTTCTATAATCTTCACACTCTGTTGGATCATCTTTCTTTGGCATCTGTATAACTACGGATCCCTTTCTACAGTACTCAAAAGGAGCACTGGTGGCACAGCAGTTAAGTGCTCAATTGTTATTAAAAATTTGATCGTTCGAATCCTCCTCCAACTACTCCAAGAAAAAAGATGTGGTGATCTGCTTTTCTACCACTTTGGAAATTCTAATCTGTCCTCTAGGGTTGTTGTGAGGTGAACTTGACTCAATGGCAAAGAGTCAAATTTCCATTAGTTTTATGGTAACCAGTCACTAAGATGGCTCTCAATTTCTCACCAACTGGTATCCACTGGTATTACACTATGCCCTCCCACAATGTACCAGGGTGAGTACAGCAGAAGTAATGGTATGCCACCTTCAAGACTAGGTTACAAAGAACACTGGGGCAGCTCTCTGTCTTCTTCTGAGGAAAGTCAGTTGCCATGTCACAGAAACCTATAGAACATAGAGGTACACATGATAAAGCCTTTGGTATGAGTAAGAAGACAGAAGCTTCCCAAAAATCTATATGAGGAAGGCTAGAAGATCCTTGGACTAGTCAAGCCTTCCAAAGACTACAGATCTAGCCTGCACCTTGACTACCCTATAATTTAAGATCTTGAGCCAGAATTGTACAGCTAAAGCCATTTCAATTCCTGACCTGCAAAAATGAAAGGATAACATATGTGGTTCAAAGGTGCTAAGTTTGGGTTAATTTGTTATAGAGCAATAGATAACTAATAAAAAGTATTTAAGGTAAAATATATGGAGGAGGAGAAGCTAAGACTAAATCACGATGTATACAGAAAGTATTAAAAAGAAAAATGTCAGTATGACCACCATGAAACATTACTTTTTCCATAGTTTTCAACCACCAAAGATGTGAGTCCAGACCTACGGCATTATTTAGCCTTACCTTATTTTGACTTTTCCATGCATAAACTCACAAATTCGTTAGATGGTAAAACACTTGGGATCCACATATGTGCCTATCCCTCAAAAAGGGGGACCCTAACATAATGTGGAAATTATCATACAATATTACTAATATCACAAAAAAAGTTTAAGATTATGGCTGGAAACATGGCTGGAACAGTATATTCTTAGGGAACTGCCAGAAGTTCAAGCTGGATTTTAGGAGCTCATAAGACAAGAGACATCACAGACATCAGATGGATCTTGGCTGAAAGCAGAGAACACCAAAGATCAAGAAAAAATTTTACTTGACTTTTACTGATTCTGCGAAAGTATTCTACCATGCAGATTAAGATAAATTATAGCTAACTTTCAGAGGAAGAGAAATTCCAGAACCCTTAATTGTGTTCATGCAGAACCTGTATATAGACCATCAAGCAGTTGTTCAAATAGAACAAGGAGCTGTTGTTATTGTTAGGTGCCATCAAGTTGAGTACGATGCATTGTGAACCTATAAACAGTAGATCTGAACCCTGCCCTACCCTGTCTGTACTCTCCTCATCATTCCTGATATACCTGAGCCCACTATTACAGTCACTGTGTCAATCATCTTTTTGAAGTGCTTACTTTCTTTCACTGGTCCTCCGCTTTTCCAAAGACAGTCCTCTCCTAACAGCATGCCAAAGCTGTAAGATAAATCTTTGCCACCCTCACCTCCAAGGAGCTCCCTGGTTGTGCACTCCGTAGACTATAGCTTTCAGTAGGGATAGCAACTCAATATTTAAAAAAAAAAAAATCTTCATCACAATAGCCTACGTCATGCTAAATGCAAGAAAAGATGAAGTAGTCAAGGATTTCCTTTTACTTGAATCCACAATCAATACCCATGGGAGAAGCAGACAAGAAATCAAATTATGTATTGCCCTGGGCCATAGTCCTTTATTAGTACTTTACATAATTTCACTCAAATGAATGTTTAATTATTCAGAAGAGAAAATGATAGCCAAAGGCTAAATAAAAATTGTTAAGAGAAAACTCACTTCCATACTATACATTGTGTGGAACTTGGAGGGCACCATTCTTTTCTCTTACTAAGTGACCATAGGAGGCAGTTCTCAAAAAGGAATAAACTAACCACTGCCATAGAGTGGATTCTCACTTACAGTGACCCTGCAAGACACAGGAGAACTGTCCCACAGGCTTTCCAAGGCTGTAAATCTTTCTGGAAGCCAACTGCCTCATAGTTCTTCTGGTAAGGGGTTCAAACAGTTAGTCTTCTGGCTAACAGTTGAATGGCCTAACCACAATGCCACAAGAAAGGAATGGATACTTCCAACCAGGAAGAGAAGTGACATGTGGGCTCTGTGACATCAGATACTCCACAATACTTGGAGGACAGAGCCTCTGAGGCTTAAATTACTTGCAGAGTACAACAGTCCCTGGATTCTGTGGGTATGTTAGGTCCTCCTCCTCCACACACGCCAGAACTCCAGGAAGGTGAGGAGGAGTCAAGTTGCCCTTTCATTAAAACAAAACAAAACCTCTTTTCTTAACATTAACCAAAGACTGATGTAAGAAATAGTAATATAAAGAACATCTCTGTACTTTCAATTGAATTGTCCACTGCATTATGGCATGACTGCTGGATAAATATCTACAAAATAATTTAGTGTTAGGGGAAAAGTCTCTCTCTCTCCTCTTGGATAAACTGGTTTGTTTCTTTCCAACAATGAGAATTACATAATCTTTTTTTGTCTACATTTTTGCCTTGGCTCCAGGAAGTATAAAGATACATTTCAAGTTTAATTAGAATAACTGTTGGATGAAATTTCTAGCAGACTAATTTTTATTTCTTATTTTAATGGCTTTAATGCACATGTATCATTTACTGTAAGTAATTTCAAATTTTAAAATTAATCAAATTACAAAAATGTGAATGAAATAAAGACACTCTCCTGCCTCTCTTTTACTCCAGATAACTTTCCCCAATCCATGACTAAGAATCAACGCAAAGCCCTTTCTTCCCTTTAATCAATAACCGAGCCTGTCTGTTAAGTCACATTAACGAGTATTTCGTGCGTACTTCCTGCATTTTATATCCCCATTAACACTGCCTTGAAAAAGCTTCTATATTAATCTCTCCATTTCTAGTCTCAATTGTTTCCCAACCAACTATTATTCATTTCCTTGATCCTACCAGAAAGATTTCTAACGTAAAAGTAAATGTCTTTCATCAGGCTCAAAATTTTCAGTGACTCCCTACCACCACCTATAGAGTAAGACCCAAAGTCATTTGTGTAATAATAGGAGACCATATAGAATGAAGTGGGTCCCTCCACATTTACCCACCTCTATCTCATTTACTACTTTCCCCCCATGATGATCTGCTCCTCCCTCAGGGTCATCTAACTTATCAAATGACAACACCATCTACCTCGCTATTCACACTCCCAACTCTGCAGTTTGAATCATCTCCTTTCTGTCATATCCTACATATAAATTCAAGAAAGCCTACCAGCTGAACCTCCACAATATATCTAAATGCAACTCTTTCCCATCATTTCAAATGCTATCAACTATCTTCAGAAGGATGGACAACCTTCTCCTGTGTGGTTAACTGCCTCTGAAAATCCACTGGAAAGTTAGCTAGGGGTCAGTTCCAACTCAACAGCACACAACAACAGCATCTACCTAGTTTAAATCACCACCATCTATCACATGAACCATTGTGACAACTTCTTCAATATTCTGACTCCACCTTCAAGCTCCCACGTCTATTCACCATCCTTCATAGAGAAGCCACCATTGTTCCTATCATTGCCTAAAAGCCACTGCTTCCTCAGGGTCTCTTGCCAGGGATGCTCCTCCCACAGATATCCCTACAGCTCAGGTTCTCACTTCATTGCAGTCACTGCTCTGATGTCACGTCCTTTAGAGGGGCCTCCTAATACCTTACATCATTAATTTTTCAACTGGGGATTCTAGACCTCAACAGCATTCGATATAGTCTGGCAACAGTCTTAGCAACCAAAGGCATGGTGCTAAATAATGTTCATGACAATCTACTGCAAAACAGAGTTCTCCAGCTCCAAATACCCACAGTACCAAAGCTGAGAGGCAGTGCTGTTTTTAAAACAGCACCTCGACTGCTCTCCTAACCCTTACTTTGCCTTACTTCTGCTTCAAGATAACTATTACAGCTTGATGCTATCTTGCCCTTTACTCATCTATTTGCTTATAGTCTTTGCCATTGCAGTGATGTGAGCTCACCGCAGCAGACTTGTGATTTGCGGAGGGGAGATGAATACTTGCATATAAGCAGCACCTAAGAAATATTTAATGACAGTAAGTGTGTAAATGATATACTAATATGGTGGGATTATTTTTATCCCTCCAAGGACCTCAGTTCTATTAGTATTCTGAGCTACTAGTTGTAGGAAATGACAAACCATTTGGAAATCTGAAATCAGTAGGCTTCATCTAAGGAGCCCTGGTGGCACAGTGGTTGAAGGTTTCAAATGCTGATGGAAAGGTTGGCAGGTCAAACCTACCTGTGAGAGAAAGCTGTTGCAGTCTGTTTTTGTGAGGATTTGCAGCACGGGGCACACTATTGGCAGTTCTACTCTGTCCTCAGAGGCTTGTCATGAATTGTGATTGATTTGTCGGCAGTGGGTTTTGTTTAGTTTGATGAGTTATCTGCTGCAGAGTGAGAGCATGTAGTAAACCTTATTTTCATTTTTTTTTGTGTATGGCAAGACACACAGTTAGAATCTACCCACTGCTCTGTGGGAAATGGACGGGCAATCTCTTCCTGTGTGATTTACTGTACTGGAGGGTCAGCTACGGTCAGTTCCAACTGGACCGCATGCAACAACATGTGGTGGCAAGGAAGATGCTCCTAAGATGCTCCTCCAGGACCTCGTACTTCCTTCAGTCTCTCACATTTCTCACATTGGCAAGGATGGAAGAACACTCCCTCGAGCAAAGGGTCTCATGTTTTCAATTTAGGACTGAAGATGCTCCCAGAGGAGCTCAATATGCTTGGAAGCTAATGCAGACCTTTTCTGTCCTACTGCTATTGCCGAGTGCCACTAAGTTGATTCTGACTCACAGAGACCCTGTAGGACAGCACGGAATGGCCCCACTGAGTTTTCCAGGCTGTTATCAATACAGAAAAGCAGTCCATGAACAAGAGGAAGACCCTCAAGGGAATAGACTGACACAGTGACTTCAACTACGGGCATAGGCACAGCAGAGACTGGGAGGCTGGAGCAGAATCAGGCAGGAGTTTTGTTTGGTTGTATATAGTGCTGCTATGACTCCAAGCCAACTCGATGGCACTTAACAAAAATCTTTACGGAAACAGATCACCAGGACTTATCATACTACACAGATGACAGGTTTAAATGCCAACCTACGGATGAGGGGCCACTGATTATCTATTATGCCATGCTCCTTTCCCTGGCCCAGGCCTTTCTAATCAGAAGGCTGAAACATAGTATGTATCTTTACTCAAAACAAAACAATAACTTGTCATCATATTCCTAATAGTCCTGCTGGTATATAAAATTTTCACAATCAACAAGCCACATACCTGCTTGCTTAGCTTCGATACAGGCAATAGTTATTTCTTCTTTCAGATCCCAGTTTTCATTGGCTATGGCCTCCCCTACTTTAACAAATCTTCCAACTGCCAAGTTGACGGCTTGTCCCACACGCTGAATTGCTTGCAGAGTTTTATCAGACTTTTTGGTATTATCTTTATGATTAATAAGTGTGGTGATCTAAAAATTAAAAAATAAAAATAAAAAGTTGCTTGCTTAACTTTATCCAGTATCTTTTTTAAGAGCTGTATCACATCGGCCAAGAAAACCAAGCATAGTAGCCTACACAAGACTACTATTCAAGGAAAATCAGGCAAGTATCTGGCATCACTCCTTGTGACAATTTTTCCATAAATTAAAATTCCAAATTCACCTGTAAGCAATGATCAGAGACAAAACAATTTCATATGTCCTCCAGGTGTTCCAGTGAATCTTAAAGGTAGAAAAGTAAGGAAAAATGGTTCATTACATTCACAGAACCCACAGAAAAACAAAGTACTTCAGGTCTACCTTCTTCTAGTAAGAACCGAGCTGCTATGAGAGTAGCAATGGCATCTTCTTCACTATGGCCTTCTGCTCCACTGTCCAGCATTATATAAGGCAGCAAGTGTGACAAACATACTTACTGATTTAATCAGACATTTTAGAATAACTATTGTGATCTGTATTTTATATTTTTTAAAAAATTGTGTTGTATCAGATTCAGAGTAAATGAAACACAGGTATATATGAGAGACATTATGGGCTCAGTTCCAGCCCACCACAATAAAGAGAATGTCACAATAAAGTGAATACAATATTTTATTTTCCAGTCCATATAAAAGTTATGCTTACATCAGACAGTAGAGTCTTTTAAGTGTGCAATAACATCATGAAAAAGTGTAAAATATTGTTAAGAATTACCAAAATGTGACACAAAGTCAAAAAGTAAGCACACGATATTGGTAAAATGGCACCAACAGTCATGCTCAACTTGCTTGTTGCCACAACCTCCAATTTGTGAAAAACACAGTATTGGTGAGGTACTATAAAGTGGAGACAAATTAAACATGGTAGGCCCATACCTAGAGTATATATACTTGGTTCCAAGCCCTGAAATAACATACAAAAAGTGACAATTTTACTTTAATGCATGGAGTACAATTTTGAAGTAACTTCTAGAGCCATAGAGACAAAGGCTAGAATAGAATATTAAAAAAAGAATCATTCACCACAACAAGATAAAGGTAAATAATCCAATAGAAAAATGGGCACAGGATATGAACAGGCACTTCACCGAAGACGACATTCAGATGGCTAACAAACACA